ATATAGCATTGATAGCAATACTCATCAGTGCTACTATAGCCATACCTGCAGTGTAGGGTTGACATGTTGGTGTTTCAATGGTGATGCAACCCTACAGGGGCTTGTTTGAATTCCTTTTATACTTTCAAACCAGCAACCCTACAGGGAAATAAAATGACGACCAGCACAAGGGAAGAATTCATGAGTTTTCTAGCAGCAAAATTAGAGAGAAATTCTGTCCAAAGGCTTCTCCAACAGCCAGACAAGGTTACTACAAAGCTCGTCTTTGTTGATAACTAGACTTACCCTACTCATACTACTGTCCAAATGCTGCAAGGAAGGTTCCAGAAAGCAGATATGCCATCTTCTTTATTCTTGTGAATGACTCCGATGAAGTGAATGTCAGTCACAGCCTGAACTGACTTAGACTACATTGCTGCAATTGCCTATCTAGCCATATCATTTGTGCAGTGACTATAATCAATCATGCATGAGTATTGTTAGTCTGTCAAAATCTATTGTATGTACATTGCTTTACTTGCTTAGGCTCACCCCTTGAATTTTCTACATTGTTCTAGTCAATAAAATATTTTTGTTATTTTACAAATGACCTTTTGTCATCATTGCTATCAAAACTGAACAAACCATGCATTACTTCCTGTGAAATATATATTGCACTGTCAGTGCCTTTAATCATAGTGGTCTCACATCCTGGAAAATATGTATAGTGCACCGGATGTGACCGTCTACCGGATATAAACCCAACGCGGTGCCTTTCATCTTATGGCTTCCCATGATACAAATGTACATGTTACATACATGTATAACTTTATCAAAAAGACACAATTGTGTATAAATCAATATACATATGTATTACTGTATAGATGTACATGTACATGTATAAGATACCAAAAGAATCTTACCAGTGGGCACATTATAAAGTAACTGTTCATTAGTACAAATATCACCATCCTCAAGTTGATAATATTGAAACTGAGGATGGTAAACAGTTGGTGTAGAACCAATCCCTCCTATTATGACAAGGTATTCTGATCCACCGATCTCCAGTGATACCATTCCAGCACCAGCTTTTTTCATCAACGACTGTTCAGCATTACTGCATGAAGTCCACTGCATCTTTATCGTATTCAGTACATTCAACGTATTGTGGTAACAAAGATCATGACCACACCATCCACCAAAATAGTAAATATTAGAATGAGAGGTGGTACAGGAGTAGCCAATTACTCCTAATGGAGGAGTACCTCTTGTTAGGTGAGAGGACCAGTCAGCAGTAGAAAGCTGGTAGACATCAACTGTTGAAGTCAGTTCCCTCTTTTGAACGGAGTCATGAACTGCAGGTAAGTCAACCTGGTTCCCTCCCCACAGGTAGAGGGACTCTCCTATTACAGGAGCTTTGTGACTAGCTCTCATTTTGAAACCTGTAGTAATGAATAATGATAGAAAATGAAGACAATGACTATAAAAGAATAAATAGAAAGAGAGAGAGCATGAAGACAGAGAAGGAGGGAAGATGGTATCATGGTAGGGAGACTGACTTTTTCCAGACATCCTTTTCTAAACTACAGTAAAATAAACAATGAGCCACGCCTATTATTAAAAATAAATGCTTATAAAAAAACCTGGGCAGTTCTCCCAGTGGGAAAGACAAGGGACAAGCAAAACCTCCTTTCTCTTTACTGGCAAAGACGCGGGGACCCTGGGCCTGGACAGCATCTACTGGCTAGGACTCAACGGACTAGAAGAACTAATATCTATTAATCCCTCCTTCAATAAATACCGGTACACTGATACTCTATTCTCTGAAGCCTCCAGGGACTTTGAAAGGAGCATCCTAACGCAAGAGGCAGTGAAGAAAGTAGAGGAGAGCATATCCAGATTCCTCCGTTTATTATCTCCGTATTTCATAATTTTCATGCCATGCCCCGCTCACAAGTGCCTGGAGTTCACAAATGCAACATTGATGGAGTGTGTCCTACCGTATTACAAGACAAACCTATTTGCACACGTCGTTCAAATACTACGACTGGACGACCACGCCTCCTTCTGGTCCTGGCTGTCTCCTATCTCTCGACTTTCATTAGTACAACATTGTCTCTCTAAGGGTCCGTTCCTCAGTTTTATATGTAACATGGTAGCCTCTTCTGTTTCTGAAGAGGAAGGATCCTCTTCTAATAATCCTCGTCATGTTCTGATATCATTTTATGCGAGCACTGTGTGTGAGGTGGTATTGGAGTCTTGGAGAGGGGTCCGGTTAGGGAGGAGCTCATTGGGGGACTCCTCCCATTCATTGTTAATGGTCTGGTGTCTAATAGTGTGGAGTATAGGTGTGCTACGTATATGGTATCAGGTTTACTGGCCTCCAAGACACAACTGAGCACTAAAGTTATTAATTCATTACTGGAATCAATTATTAACGTGAGCCATAATTAATGATTTTTTATTATTAATTATTATTCATCTCGATAGCAAGTTGCAATGTTATAAGTGCATTTATTTTTTGTTTTTATTTTGTAGAATTCCATTCCTAGTTTGATTGAAGAGGCTGTACAGTGTATGCTGCTAGTTGCTTCTAGTCCAGATACTGTACATTAAGAACTCTGACTAAAAAGTATCCATTATATTGCATGTACATGTACTTGTATCATATTACATGTATACTCACAGTATTTTTTGTAATTGTATTTATGATATCATTTTCTGCATGTCCTGTTCATAGGTTACATATGAACATTAAATTGTTATATGTTCATATCAAAATTTATAATAAAAGTAGAGAAATTTTTGAGCTATATTGCCCTGAGGTTTTAATAACTTTCTGATTATGCATGTACATGTACAGTATTTTATCAAAAAAGGATTCATTTCTACCAGCACTGCAGGAACTAAGCACCCATACTGACTTATCCTACCTGTTGAGACCAATATTCAGGACAATACTTCCATCAATTGACTTTGAGGGGGTCTGAAACTAAAGCAGAGGGTCTGGGACAGGTTTTATATGATTTATCCAGTAAGACTGCATTAGAGGCAGCGACTGTTTCATGTAATTATTACAAAGTAAATTGATTATTTATTTTGCTGGTTGTATTTGATGAGAATTTGTTTGTTTTATTTTTAGGGATTTATTGGAGCAGTTCTGTACTAGTAATAAAAGTGGTAAAAAGTCAGCTGCTATGAAATATCCTTTTTTAACTGAAGTAGTAGTACAAGCATTGACTAACAAGTGAGGACATACTACACAGATATGGGGTCAAGCACTCGGTGCTTGTACTTAAGCACAAAGAAGCACACCTTTCTAAGTACTTAATGCTGCTTACAAGTACCTTTTCAATATAATCTATGTGCTTTGTACTTGTACTTAATTACTTTTACAAATTTACAAAAGTGCTTTTAAGCACAGCAAAAATTGTACGTGGATAGTGTGCATGTATAGTGGTTACACAGTCCAGTAAATTGTAGTAACAGCAATATACAAGTTTAGTAGCACATTGTGTGATTTTTTGCTAGCTTGAAGAACAGTAATGGCATCACCATTAGTGGTATCATCACCAATCACTCCAAAGCTCCTACTGTTTTCATTCATTATGAACAATTCACAAAGTTAATGTATACTAGATGCAATAGTAAATTAAATGACTAAGTGCATGTACATGTACAATGAACAACTATTCATAGTGCTTTGCCCCATGTCTGATACTACATGTATCCAGACTCTCATACATAGGGGTAGGAACAGGGGGGGCAGGAGGGGCTTAAGCCCCCCAACTTTCATTGAAGGGGGGCTTAGCCCCTCCAACTTTAAGTGATATACATGTATTACTATTATCAACACTATAGACTTTAGTTTAGGTAATCCTTATATGTGTGCATATTGTGTGATGATTCATTTCATAAAACAATTAATACACTAGCTTAGCTTCTAAGAACACACACTAGTTTTTTTCAGAAATACACAAGCTTCTACTTTTTTATTTAACAACTCTGTTAACATTAGCTTCATAGATTTTTGACGTTAAGGAGGTTAAAAAACTACTTGCGCTCCACAATGTCACAAGAGCATCTTAATCATGTAGCTATTTTGCATACACATAAAGAATTTACAGACAATTTATACATCGAGGACATTGCAAAGGAATTTGTTACATTTAATGAGCATAGACGCCAATATTTTGGACAATATTAATTTCAGTACAATGATCAATTGTTAAATCATGCTCCTATGATTGCCAATAAATAATACCTTAGCCCCCCCAACTTTTAGTTTGTTCCTACCCCTATGCTCTCATATATACATTTTTATGTAAATTGACATCCTTATGCTATGTAGAAAGTTTAAGATGATTCCAACTTAAATTTTTTGAGTTATAGACCATCAAAAATAGGCCAATTTTTGAAAAAATCCCTGTACTATAGCCCATGCTTTTTTCCAAAAAATGGCTAAAAAATGACCCCCAATTTTATTACATTTTCTGATACATATTGATGTAGTTATGTTGTGTAGAAAGTTTGAGTTAATTCTGACTTCAATTTTTCGAGTTATGGCCATTTTAAAAAATATGCCAATTTCTGAAAACGTCCCTGTACTATATATAGCCCATGGTTTTTTCCAAAAAATGGCTAAAAAATGACCCCCGATTTTTATTACATTTTCTGATACATGTTGATGTAGTTATGTTGTGTAGAAAGTTTGAGTCGATTTCGACTTCATTTTTTTAGTTATGTCCATTTTTTAAAATGTGCCAATTTCTGAAAAATTCTCTGTACTATAGCCCATGCTATGTATTTATATGTATTACTTAACAGTATCTTGTACATGTTCATACATTGTACGTTAAATACATTTTAAGTTTGTATTCTCTTTTTCATCTTCCTTTTATACCTCATCAGTTATCCTTGAACAATGATGTCCTTAATTTCTATCATCACGACACTTCTGTACGACTATCGGCCGTCAAATCTCTCA